TACCATATGATATCACTCATACGTAGAATCTAAAAAGAAAAAAGAGGACATTGATGAACTCATCTACAATACAGAAACAGACTCACAGACATAGTAAACAGTCTTATGGTTACCAGGGGAAAGGGGGTGGGAAGGGATAAATTTGGGAGTTTGAGATTTGCAAATGTTAGCCACTATATATAAAAATAGACTAAAAAATGGATTTCTTCTGTATAGCACTGGGAACTATATTCAATATCTTATAACTAATGAAAAAGAATATGAAAATGAATATATGTATATATATATGCATGAATGGGACATTGTGCTGTACACCAAAGTCTGACACATTGTAATTGATTGTATTTCAATTAAAAAGAAAGAAAAAAGAAGAATATGAAAACAAATATATGTATGTATATACATGACTGGGACATTATGCTGTATAGCAGAAATTGACACATTGTAACTGACTATACTTCAATAAAAATTTTTTTTTAATAATGACTGAAAATTTCACCAAATTAATGTCAGACACCAAACCACAGATTCAGGAGATGTATTCAATTATGCATGCTTATGTAAAATTGTATACTTATGCTTATGTGCAAGTAAAATGATTTACAACTATGATACAAGGGAAGGAGGAAAGAATTAGGATTATTTTATTATTATAAGGTACTCACCCTACCCATAAAATGGTATAGTGTTATTTGAAAGTGGACTTGGATTAGCTATGAATGTATACTGCAAAATCTAGGGCAACCACAAAAAAAAAGTGCACAAAATAAGAAGTACAACAGATATGTTGAGAAAGGAGAAAAAACAGCATTATATAAACTGCTCAATTAGAAAGAGTGGAAGAAAAAAATAGAAACAAAAACAAGGGCAACTTGGATGAACCTGGAAATCATTCTAAGTAAAGTGAGCCAGAAAGAGAAAGAAAAACACCACATGGTATCACTCATATATGGAATCTTAAAAAAAAAAAGATACGAACTTATTTACAAAACAGAAACAGATCACAGACATAGACAACAAACTTAAACTTACAGTTATCGGTTGGCGGGGGAAGAGGGTAGAAAGGGATAAATTGGGAGTTCAAGATTTGCAGATACTAACTACTATGTATAAAATAGATAAATAATAAGTTTCTTCTGTATAGCATAGGGAACTATATTCAATGTCTTGTAGTAACCTATAATGAAAAAGAATATGAAAATGAATATATGTATGTATATGTATGACTGAAACATTATGCTGTATACCAGAAACTGACACAATGTTGTAAACCGACTATACCTCAATAAAAAAAACAAGAGCAACAAATAGAAAACAGTAACAAATACAGTAGATATTATCCAACTTTATCAATAATCACCTTGAATATCAATGGTCTTAATGCATCAACTGAAAGGCAGAGATTGTTAGAGTAGATCACAAAACAAGATCCAACTGTATGTTATCTAAGAAAACCCATTTAAAATATAACGACATATATAGATTAAAAGTAAGTGGATGGAGGAAGATATACCATGGTAAGACTAATCAAAAATAATTAGGAATTGCTACATTAATTTCAGATGAAGCAGACTACACAGCAAGAAAAGTTTTCAGGAATCAAAAAGAGTATTATATAATGATGAGGGGATCAGTCCTCCAAGAATATATAACAATTCTTAACATGTATGCATCTAACAACAGAGTGTCAAGATATGTCAGGCAAAACCTGATAGAACTGCAAAGAGAAACAGATGAATCCATTATTATTGTTGGAAAATTCAACTCACCTGTATAAGAAATGGACAGATCCAGGAGACAGAAAATCAGTATAAGGACACAGTTGAACTCAAAATCACCATCAATCAACTGGATATAACAGACATATATAGACTACTTCATCCAAGAACAGTAGAATACACATCTTCTCAAGTTAATCTGGAACATACACCAAGACAGACTATATTCTAGACCATAAAACATAACCTTAAAAAATTTAAAAGAATAGAAATCATACTATGTCTGCTCTCAGACTACTGGGAAATTAAACTAGAAATTAATAACAAAAAGATGGCTGGAAAACCCCAAAATACTTGGAGAATAAACAAGATACTCCTAAATAACACATGAGTCAAGGAAGAAATCTCAAGAGAAATTTTAAAATATTTTTAATTAAATGAAAATGAAAGCAAAACATCAAAATCGGGGGGATGCAGTGATTGCAGTGCATAGAGGGACATTTATAACATTGAGTGCATATATTAGAAGTAAAGAAAGATCTAAAATCAATCATCTAAGCTTCCACTTAGGAAACTAGAAAAATGAGGAACAAATTAAATCGAAAGTAAGCAGAATAAGAGAAATAACAAAGATTCAAGCAGAAAGCAATGAAGTTGAAAGTAAAAAATCAGTAGAGAAAATCAATGAAACCAAAAGCTGTTTTTTTTTAAAGATCAATAAAATGTATAAAATTGATAAGCCTCTAGCCAGGCTAAGGAAAAAAGAGAAAGGATACAAATTACTAATATAAAGAATGAAAGAAGGGGTATCACCACAGATTCCATGGACATTAAAAGCAAATAAATACTATGAATAACTCCATGTGTATGAATTTTATAACCTAGATGGAATGGACTAAAATTTCTTGAAAGACATAATCTGTCAGAACTCACAAAAGAAGAAATAGGAATCTGAATAAAATTATATCTGTTTAAAAAATTAATTAATAGCTAATAACTGTCCAAAACAGAAACCACCAGGCTCAGGTGGCTTCACTGATGAAGACTACCAAACATTTAAGGATAAAATTATACCAGTTCTGTGCAATTTCTTTCAGAAGACAGAAGAGAGGGAATACTTCATGACTCATTCTATGAGGCCAACATTACTCTAGTATCAAAATTAGACAAAGATATTATAAGAAAACTACAGACCATTATGTCTGATAAAAATAGATGCAAGAACCCTCAACAAAATATTGGCAAATCAAATCCTATAATGTATAAAAAGATACACCATGACCAAGTAGAATTTACCAGTTATGCAAGGCTGGGTCAACATTTGAAAATCAATTAATGTAACTCATTATATCAACAGACTAAAACAAAAATCCCATGGTCATAGTAATAGATGTAAAAAAGCATTTGGCACAATCCAATACCCATTCATGATTTAAAAAAAAATTCTCAGTAAATTAGGAATAGAGTGGAACTTCCTCAACTTGATTAAAAACGTCTACCAAAAACCTACAACTAGTATCACACTTAAGGATAGAAACTCAAAGCTTTTCCACTAAGATCAGAAACAAGGCAAAGACATCCCTTCTCACCACTGATTTTCAATATTGTCCTAAAAGTCTTAGCTAACGCAAGAAAGGAGACAAAAAAAAAAAAAAAAAAAAAAAAAGACAAGAAAAGAAATTCACACAGATTGGGAAGGAAGAAATAAAACTGTCTTTTTTTCACAGATGACATGATCATCTATGTAGAAAATACAAAAGAACTGACAACAAAAAAAAACTTCTTAACTAATAAACAATTATAGCAAAATTGTAGGATACTAGGTTAATATACAAAAGGCAATTCCTTTCCTATATACCAGCAATGAACAAGTGGAATTTGAAATTTAAAACACAATACTATTTACATTAACACCCCCAAAATAAATTATTTATGTATAAATCTAACAAAATGTGTACAAGGTCTATATGAGGAAAACTACAAAACTCTGATAAAAAAATTAAAAAAAATAAATGAGAGATACTCATGTTAATGAATGGGAAAACTCAATATTGTCAATATGTTAGTTCATCCCAACTTTATCTATAAAGTCAATGCAATTTCAATCAAAATTATGGTAAGTTATTTTGTGGATATTGACAAACTGATCCTAAAGTTTGCATAGAGAGGCAAAACACCCAGAATATCCAACACAATACTGAAGGAGAAGAACAGAGCTTAAAGACTGGAATTAACCACATTCAAGACTTACTATTAAGCTATAGTAATCAAAAGAGTGTGGTGTCAGCAAAAGAACATACAAATAGATCAATGGACCAGAACAGAGAACCCTGAAATAGAACCACATATGCATAGTAACTGATCTTTGACAAAGGAGAAAAGGCAATATAACAGAGAAAAGATAAGTCTTCTTTTTTGAAATTTAAGTTTTTGAGACTTCAGTTTTTGAAATACATAACTTCTACAGCACAAAGGTGCTAGAACACTGGACATCTACATTCCAAAAAAAAAAAAAAAAGAATCATCTTCCCCCGAAAATTAACTCAAAATGGATCACAGATCTAACTATAAAAATGCAAAACTATAAAAGTCCCAGAAGATAGCATGGGAGAAATTTAGATGACCTTGGGTTTGGTGATGACTTTTTGATACAACACTGAAGGCACGATGCATAAGGAAATAACTGATATGCAAGACTTCATTAAAATTAGACATTTCTGTTCTGTAAAAGAAAGGCACTGTCAAGAGAAAAAAAAAAAGACAAGCCACAGACTAGAAAAAACCTTATACAAAAGACCTATCTGATAAAGGACTATTATCAAAAATTTTTAATGAAAAATTAAAACTTAACAATAAGAAAAAAAAACAACACAATTTTAAAAAA